TAGTATCGATTAAATGACCTGTCAGTAAAGTGAAGCGATTTCAAATGCATTCTTTAATTCTGTGTATGTTGTAAGTGGGAACGGAATTTAAGTGGATTTGGAATTTCTTAATAAAGTTACAATTTTAGGGTAGAATTTATTTTATATAAACCTACACCTTAACCTCAAAAATCCTAAGAATTCCAAATCCACTTAAATTCCGTTCTCACTTACAACATATGTAACCTCTCATTACAGCGTCTGACGCTACATTGTCCCATAAGGATCCCATTTTCGGTGCTTTCTTATCATCCTTAACATTTCTGTATCACGTTCCAATGTTACTCTGTTCAACTGAATTCCCTCCTTCTTTGCTGATTAATACCATTTAGATGCTTTAATTTCACTTTAGCTGTTAACACTATTTCCATAACACTATAATTATCCCGGAAACTACTACTCTTCGCTGATATCAAATACTGTTTAAACATTTTTCTCTCCTGTAATGCATACGAGATTTTCATGAATCTTTCCATCCGAATCACTTTTCTCTCTAAGATTAATATATTTTTATGCTTTAGTACTTTGAAAAATACAACTTAAAAAGTGACTCGGTGGCGTTTTATTGCAACACAAATTATCAGAGGGTTTACGATTAAATTGAAATTGATAATCTTTATGTAAAGCTTAATTTTTTTGTATTTTATTTACTTAGTTCACAATCCTATATCTCATTTCTTTATCTCATTTTTATATCTTATTTACTTCTTTTTGTTCTTATCATTATGGAATATATAGTAATTATTTATACGCAGAGGAGGTTAGCACGCACATACGTGCGTGCGTACGTGCGCACATAAAATTTTTGACGGCAGATTTTAATTGAAGATTGTAAATAAATCTAAATAAATCTAGAACTTTCAAAAATTCATTATAAAATTTATTTCATACAAGTTTAATTATTGTTAAAAAATTTTATACTAATTAAACTTTATCCATTAAACTAGCCTAGCTATTCTAACGACATCCACCCAAAATTTTCAGAAATCACGTGAATTTTGTAATGATTTAATTGGTTGTGCTTAAGTCATGAATTTAGTTTTAGCAAAATATAAATTCAAATTTTACGATTGATTACATCTGAATAGTTTGACATCGGCTTTATTTTATGCAAATAAACATAAAGTAACTATTACTGAACCTGACATATTTATGCGAAATTAATAAATCATCGATAGGAATTACCAAGACTTCGTTTTCTCAAAGTAACTTCGGAAACTTCACAAATATGTACTTTATTTTTTGCATGTAACCATCATTTTCACATATTATATTTTTTATTTATTTGGTTCATCTTCAAATCTTCAAGAGAAATATTCAAGAGAAATATTGCACTTGAAATTATTTATTTTCTTAAATAACGATAGCTGTCGTACCATCTCTTTTTAATATATTACCTGGTTTTTATTAGGTTTGGTAAATAATTTGTAATGAATCGAAGAATATATTATTTGAATTAACGTTAAGAAACCGACTTATATTACCGGTTTTTTTT